TGCACAAAGCCACCATGGATAAAGGGACCAGAATTGCCTTGCTGTTAACACGTCCCTGATGTTGCTTTTCCTTTCTTTCTTAGGCTCAAATATTACAATTTTGGTAATATTTTCATACAACACTTCCGTAATTTAAAGGAAACATCATAAGGAAAATTTCTATTCATTTTGCCTTTAATATTCTGTTATCCAAAAACTAAAATGGTGTTCTTCAAAGCCATGTAACCCCAAAGTCAATGAACATAGGTAGGCCTTCACCAAACATAATTAAGCCAGTTATCCAGGTTTTAGGGCTCCTAATCATATTTCAGGTTCCAGCAGCAGTTTAAGACCAGATACTTCCTTAGTAGAACATGTTATGGGGCCCTGGACACACGGCACAGACACAGCCTGAGCTGCACGACAGGCTGGAGGCTGTTCCTGCTGTCACAGAGAAGAGCTTTTCATTTCCTTGAACTTTTCACAATATCTTCTATGCTAATGACGGAGAGTAATTTACAAATTTTTTAACATATTTGCTGAACTAAAATTTATTTCTATAGTATTTGTGCTATGCTGTCCTTGGAACACAGGCTGTTGCTGTGTTTGACTGTGTACAGGATCTCACACAGCAGTCCCTGCCAGGGTATCCCAGCTGCTGTCACAACTCACCTTTTCTGACACATTATGGCAATTCCTTTTATTTTTGGTCTGTTATTCTCACATTCAGTGAATGATCTCTGTAAAAGCTGTACTGTGCAAGTAAAACCATCTGCCCTGCTCTGTACTTACAGACACATTCCTGCTTCAAGGTCTACAACACAAGCTATCATAGCTCAAAGTGGTTAATATTAAAATGATGCCCTGTGAAGGTACGATGGGTGTGGACAGAACCAATTTGTTTATACAATTGTGTTTTGCCACAGGGTAAATTAAGTTACAGGGTATTCATCAAAATTGAATTACCACAGTGCGAGCTAACAATTTTCCAAAGACATTGTGACATGAGCACAAAGCCGCCCGTCAGCCACGAGGAATCGCTGTCGTCTCACAGGCTGCAGCTGAATTACTTACCAGAACAATTAGACAAAAGCAATCCTCAGAAAGGTGGAAGTTGCCAACCAGTGGAAAAGAGTGACAGGTCTAAAACTGTGTTTACTGCTTATTTAGAGGAGCCAGGAGAAAGGAGAGAGGGAGAGAGAGGGAGACCTTCCATGGGTGGGACTGTCCATGGGAATGAGCAATGGAGACATCTCAAGGTGAGGAGAGTTACTGTTCTGGTGGGACAGGCAGGACTTCTCTCCTGAAACATTTCTGGAAAATCAGATTTTCAGTTTATTTTTCTTTACAACACTTGAATGAGAGGGAGCAAGAAACCCGCACTCTGACCTCACATTTCTCTACTGATATGGAGATAAAAGTGAGGAAATTATTGTGTTTGAGTATAGGAAAATTTAGGAGGGCAAATAGGGACAGGTGAAGATTTTAGCTCTCGTCTTCACTCAACTCATGGTGTAAAATAGAGAAGATGATTCTGGAAAATAAATAAGGGCATGTGAGTGTGGAGACCACATTCTAATTTATCTTTAGTTTTTTTTCTATAAGAAACTTTGTTTTGCTAATCATCCTTACTCGAGAGAAAAACTGAGGCATAAACTCCCTGTTTAAATGGCATTTTATAACTAAAAAACATGTTTAAAGTGTAAAATAATTTCAAGAGCATTGAAATATTGTTGTTGGAAAAGACATAAAAGTTGAGAGCCTAATTTCTTTCCTCTTTAACTTTTTTTTTTTTAAAAAAATATATATCTGTCACTCCACTTTTCTTAAGGAAACAGAAAATGAAAAGATTTTTCAAAAGGACAGGTGTTCTCTTATGCTTTCAAAGCAATAGAAAATTCAAAAATGTTTGTCAAAAAACATTCTCTTTTTAAAAAATAGATTACATTTTATAATTTAATCTTGGTAACAATCATATTTCCACCTGCAAAAAATACCTTGCTCAAAAATATTGTAAGCCCAGCTCTCATTAGAGAGTTTGACCTGCTCAGGCTTGGAGAAGAGCAGAGTGGTTAAATCAAACCTCTCTTGAGCTGTGCTTCAGCCCTGAATGAGTCCCCAGGAACAGACTGGAGCTGCTCACCATAACCCCTGATATGTGCTGGGTGTCCCCTCCTTGACACCAAGCACAGTGCATTCCTGCACTGCCTGCTGGAGTGCAGTGCTCCTGCTGGAGTGCAGTGCTCCTGCTGGAGTGCAGTGTTCCTGCCGGAGTGCAGTGCTCCTGCTGGAGTGCAGTGTTCCTGTTGGAGTGGAGTGTTCCTGTTGGAGTGCAGTGTTCCTGCCGGAGTGCAGTGTTCCTGTTGGAGTGCAGTGTTCCTGTTGGAGTGGAGTGTTCCTGTTGGAGTGCAGTGCTCCTGCTGGAGTGCAGTGTTCCTGTTGGAGTGCAGCGTTCCTGCCGGAGTGCAGTGTTCCTGTTGGAGTGCAGTGTTCCTGCCGGAGTGCAGTGTTCCTGCTGGAGTGCAGTGTTCCTGTTGGAGTGCAGTGTTCCTGCCGGAGTGCAGTGTTCCTGTTGGAGTGCAGTGTTCCTGCTGGAGTGCAGTGTTCCTGCTGGAGTGCAGCAGGGAGCCACATGGGTGGCTGCAGGGAGTGGAGCTCTTCAGGGAAAGCCCGTAGATCAGACAGCCTCACGGGCCATTCCTCAGAAGGGAAACCACCCGGGCCAGGGCAGGCAGGATCCAGCCTCCCCAGCAGGATGACCAGGGGTGCTCAGACACCATCCCTCAACACAGGACCTGGGCAGCCCTTCCCTGAGCTGCACTGCTTTGGGATAGCAGCCACCACCTAGTCATTTGCTGGCTTCCTGAATCATTGCAAACTAAAGAGGTTTCATAAGACTCTCCAGTACAAAAAACCTCCCATCAGAAAAACCTATTTAGAAAACTGCATTACTGGGGCTTGGTAGGATAGATTTTGTTTTTAAAGGATAATCATGTGTCATTTCCTTGGCAGTTAGGACATTAGATCTAGAACTAAAAAAGAAAATCAAACATATATCTACCACAATCCAAAATTTACATCAGCATATCTAAGCAGTCCAGGAAGGGAGTCCAGGCTGCAGGGGCACACCTTTCTGTGTGAACAAGTTCTGCTCAGCCTGGAGCTTATGGCTGCTCTCCCCTGGGGCTGGCACAGAGGTGGCCCTGCAGAGCTCACACCCAGTGCCCTCGCATTGACTGCCAGGGGGGAGCCTGGGCCAGGCCCTGCACTACGTCCTGAGGCCATTTTCCTTTTGCTGGGGCTCCTGGCTTTCCTGCTGAGGGTTTCTGATGGAAAGGCTGGACTGTGCTGTGGAGCAGGGGCAGCAGAAGAGCTGATGTGCTGCCAGGCTGGCTGGGGTACTGAGCAAACACCGCTGGGTCACTGAACCTGGCACAGCTGTGTCAGACCAGCTTCTGTGACCCTGAAACACAAATTCCTCCCAGGTATTGTGCTGACTCTGCTCTCGGCAAAGTGGGAGTGCTGCAAACTGTTACCTGCTTTGTCAAGGGTTCCCTCAGGGAATTTAGCAGCATTTGTTTTTTTGGGATGAGCAGGATTGCTGCTCCTTTGCTCTGATGGAAATGGACCTATGCTACTCTGTATATATTACTGATGCCATACTGGTGCCTCAAGAGATGTTGACTGTGTACATTTACATAAATCTAAAAATAAATAAATATACTCACAAGCCTCCTCAATCAAAATATGCCACAGACAACTAAAAGATCTTGAATCAAATATTAATGTTGGAGATTTCTCCAGCCATTTTGTAATGCTTCCAGCTATCTTTATTACACAGTGTGTAATGCACTACCTTATTTTAGTCCTGAGCTATCAGGAGTATCATCTTTTTGATGGCCTCAAACTGGCTTAATAAAACTGGTCCTCCTTTGAGTGCTCAGGAGCAAGTACTTAAGATGGAGATGTGATAGTCAGCACCTGCAGGCTGTGGCAGTCCTGATCAGGACAGTGCTTGCTGAGCCACAAGAAGGAATTGTTACTCATTAAAGGTCTGTTACTCTGGCACAGCAAGTCGCATGTCTTATCCTGAGACAGGTGAGAGGACTGTGAATGTTTTCCCACATATCTAAAATTTATCCTCAAGTTACACTGGTATATATCATGTCTGTCAAGTTTTTTGCCTCAAACCATTCTTGTTCTTTTTACCTTCTGCAGTTTCCCCACTATTAATTGTACTGAGTAGTTACTTTGCTGCATTGTGTCCTTTTCCTTACATTGCTATAAAGTTCCATATCTTATGAAAAGGTCTCAGATTCACATTTTCTAAATAAAAGAGAATGCGATATTATACTCAGTGTCTGCAACCGCAAGAGATAATGAATCTGTTTAAAAAGAATCCCATGCAATTCCCTTGCAAATATGAGATTTGCAACATCACTATGGGAACAAACCCAAGTCACTGGGCTTTCTAAATTTAATGAGGTTCAAATGTCCAAGGGCACTAGCTTTCAGGGGAAGAAGCAATGTCAGAGCATGCAGAGAAACGGATACTGTTTCTTAAGCAAAGCAAGAAAAATATCTTGAAAGAGGTTTCCCCCTTGAAGTGAATCAGGTGAAGTTACTGGTAAGGAGGCAGCTGTGAATGTTCAAAGAGGATTAGATTCTTCCACAGATCGTGACTTTTAAGTTCAATCCCTGCAATATTATTTATGACAGTTATAGACCTATATGGCAATATCTCAAGAAGGAGAATGATTCATCAATTCCAACACTGCTTCTTCCGGAGACCAAACTGCAATGCAGCACATCACAAGACACACTATTAGGTAAGAAGCAAGAAATCTTCAAAACAGGAATGATGCAGAGTCCATTCAATCAGCTTAAAGATTTCTATTGCCTCCAGTGATCTTTGGAGAAAGGTAGCTTTGAAAACAGAAAAATCTTATTTGTTAGAAATTCCTTTTTCTGAAGATGGCATTCTATGGTGGATTACTTAAACTGAAGCAACCAATACTTACACCCTGGCGTATTTCAGTGCTTTCTCTGCAGAGCTCAGTCCCTGCGGCCCCGAGAGGAGAGTTTCCTTATCACCCTGTGACCACCAGGCAGGCTGAAAGTAAAGCTTCCTCAAAACTAACTGACCTCACTTCAGATCAAATATTTGCAGCTATGCCAGCTGCTTCCATGGTGGTATGCAAATACCAACGTAGGCTACTGCTTGTCCCATGGGATTGCTGGGCAATATTGTTTCCTTCAGCAGACATCCCAACTCTCCTCTGTGCTTGCCTGTGCCTTTCCCACCCTGGGCAAGAGAGAAGTGGGCTCTTTACAAGCTGCTTGTGAATGGGAGTGGAATTTGTCATAAAGCTATAGCCTGGGTCAAGTCTGAAAGTCATTCAGTGCACTACCCACGCATCAATTAGGATTTCTAAACTGCAAGACACTGGGGGAAGTCACATGGTATCCTCTGAGAAAGGTACATTGCTGCTTCAAATGCAGCTTTAAATGTGTTCTTTGTTCAGGTAAGTCCATGTCTTCAGTTTTATAGTCAAAGCAAGTCCACAGTCATCTACCATTTCTTCTCCAAATATTTACACTTTTTTTCTCTGTTTGATATATAATGCACTAACACTGTAAAGCAAACACACACGAGTGGTGCACCTTGTTTCAGTATCACATCTATCTTCTGCTAGATAGCAGCAGATGATCAGGCTTCTACAGGCAATTTGTCAGTGAAGAAGATGCAGTGAGGTGTTTCCAGGAGACATTACAATGTCTCCTGTTTTATTTATACATATTCATATTAATTCCAGAACAGAGATGCTACAACAGTACTTGGGGCAATTCCCCCTAGCAGGAACCTCAGCCCAGTGGCTCTCACTGTTCCCAGTGATGAACGATGTGCATGACACCAGCCCAGAGAAGAGAGCAAGTTCTCCTGCACTTGTGGAGCCTTTTCTACCTACATTGATTGCTCTATATCAAATGCTTAAGCATGAACTAATAATACAATATTATCTCCCCCAAACTGGCCGTTTGCTCACACAGAAAGAAAAGAGCCCACGTAATAGTGACACCTGGTGACACCTATTGTTTTGCTTACACACACACCTCTTTTTCCAAATATACCAGGTTTCACTGAAAATTCCCAACCTAGGCTAAGTGATCGGGGTAGAACTATAAGACAACATTCAGGTATAAAGAATTTGGATTGATGCCTTATTCTTTGCTCTTTCTTTTCTTTTTGACACTGCTAACCTTCATCAAATGGTTTACCCACTTTACTATCACGTTCAAGGGGATGTGCAAGAGACCACATGGTCCACCTGGAAACTAAATTTGTAGACACTGATATAAAATGAAAAATGAATTGCACTGCCATCAGTTAAGTCTTTCTGTAGTCCACATTCCCTGAGCTGAGGACAGCATGTTCTTTGGAAGGGATTCTGCAGACTTCATGGTTAAATGATAGAAAGTTATTCTGGTATAAAAACTCAAGCATCTAAGCCTCCAGGTTTTCTTGTAAAGTTTCTCTGCCAATATATTCTCAAAGTGGCCTCATTTTTGTAGTAAAGAAGATGAAAAAAACCTGGATGTGTCGGGAGGATACTAATAATAACTGATACTATTAGACATTGATCTCCACTTTTTCAAAGTGTTTGCTGGGAAGTGCAGGGATTATTGTCATATACTCTGATGTTCTGGTACTGTAAGTTATCATTTGTGTCCATTATTAAATTAGCTCACCACTGCGGTGGAAATCACTACTTCTATTCTTTGGTAACTACACTATGAGTCATCTAGGCCGTGGATAGTGTAAAGTCCTATTGGAAAATCCTGTAAAAATTATGTTGTGAAAAATACATATCTTTCTGCCTCAAAGGGAACTACAGTGGAAGGGGAATTAGTTTTTACCTTTTATTTAGATATGTTCACAAAAGTGTGTGGGGAGGTGAGCAAAATGTCAGTGCAAATACAGTAGCAGAAACCACATTTCCAAGCTTTGACCACTTAACTGTTTCCCCAAGGGATGTTTTTACTGGTATTTTGTTGAACTCAGTCATTATGCTTCCTGTTATGAACTGGTAAAAGAAAAGATTATAATACGGTTATGTGAAAGGAGAAAATAATGAAGTGCATCTCAGCACAAAGAAAAAAGAGAGAATGGCAGGTGTGAAAAGATCTTTTTCTTTTCTTAATTCCTCCAGCCTTTTTTTTTTTTTTTTGTAATTCCCTTATTTCCTTGTTCTTGTACCTCGGATCCTACCAGTCATTTCGGGCATATTAAGACTAACAAATGTGTCATGTTGTCCATGCTCCAGTCTCCAAGCAGAATGTTTCTACCCTCTACTCAGCACATTACTGTGCACAACCTACCTCAGCTGGAAGGTCCCTGTTTGCATGCAGGGAACTGCCCAGGTAATGACTCCTGTGCTCTCAGAGCATGGGGACATAATAAAGATGGACCTGGAGACAGGTTTCTTATTGAAGAATAATGGAGAGGTCACCCTGAATGCTTGTTGCCAAGAAGGGCTGAGCTAGGGTCATTAATGATAATTAATCATTAATTAAACTGGGCATGATACACTGGAAATAGTATGTTAGCTACTCCATTCTCTGGGAAATCTCCTCCTTTAAGTTAAACTGGCTCACACAGCAGTTGTGCCTCCTGTGTGAAAGACATGTCACTTATATATGATCCCAAGCCACTCAGTGAAGTTGTGGAAGCAACAATCTTCTTGTTGATTGAATTTTCACTTAATTTAATTTCATTGGAAATCACAGATGGTGTCACCCAGCAGCTAGAGGCTAAAAAGGGGCACTTTACAAACTGAATAAAAAACTTATTAAGTTATAATAAGCACCAAAAGCAAATGGAGGTGAAAACTTTACTGTAAACAACATATTTACTCTACACACACAGTGATACTAAAATTAAATTTCTTTTTGTTTCAGACTTTAATCACGCTCTTGGCAAAGCAAATAATTCTAATATGATTCAAACCCCTGGTTTCTTATGAATGAGACTGGAAATGGAGTAAAAGAGCACAACAATGTTAAAATACAGAGAAGGGAGAATGGCTCGAATGCAAAAAGTTTAGTTACATAATTTATTTTTACATGTGAGAGAAAAATAAAGATAATAAAATATTCTTGTCTGGTGCAGGCCACTAAACTTTCTTCCCCAAATGAGCAGAGAGAGTGTGGTCAGTGGAATAGATTGCTTTCAAGATAGAAAACTGCAATGTGTGAACTTGCACTTCCATTTCTCACCAGTCTTTCCCCATCTCTTGGTGAAGTGAGCAGCAAATTCCCAAGGTGTGGGACGTGTTCCCCAAATCAAAACAGTCCTCTTGTAAAGTCCTGACCAGTGTCCCGGGCATGTGTAGGATACATTCTGTCCCTCTGCAGCTCAAGTAATGTGCAGCTTTTCTGTAGTCTCAAAATGACACACTAGTTACTCGATGGCAGTGTGTACTAAGAGCTGTTAATATTAGCTGGGATATAACGTGTCTGTGAGAGAAACTTCAAAGGGACAGACAAAGGCTAACTTTTCCCTCTGTGTAGACTGGGAAATGAACATCTGCCATTATTGGAAATGAAGAAAATCTTTCTGCCATCCAATGGAACACTATGGTCCCTCCTCTGATTTTCTACATGATCATTTTTAAAGAAAGGAATAATAAATTTTAAGATAAACCCTGCTCACAAGTTGTGTTATTTATTCACCCAGTTAACAGCCATTTCCTGTAATCAGTATAAACTGATCAATCTGCCATAATGAGAATGGAGCCAGCAGCTTCCTGGCCAGGAATGAGCCTGTGTCTCTTCTAATCTGCAGACATAACATATTGGAAGAGAAGATCACTAAATTCCCACATGCTAAGCAGTGAAAACACAGCAGCTTTCCCCTCTGCAGGTAGATGGCTAAAATAATGTATGAAGGCAATAATTCTTGGGTCTTGTATAATTAGTGATATAAGAAAAAGAGTGTTTTCTAACATAGGTTTGAATTATTAATTAATTAATCCTGACACTAAAAAAAAGTACTTTTCAGTTTCCACTGTAATATAACTGCTATGACTAATGGATGATGCTTAAAAACAGATCAACAAAAGTATTAAGAGCAGTGATTTTTGACCCTTCATAGAAAAATGCTTTTATTAGTGCTGTAAATACCTCTACTGAACACATGGACGGGGGTAAACTACTGAGCAAATGAGATTTAGTGGAAAAAAAAAGGGGGATCAAACAGTGCTTTGTTCCTACGGAAGAGTAAATCAGTAAATAACGCAACAAAAAATCCTGCTCCTTGATTCCAGGAGGCCCCATGGGCTGCCCTCCTGCAGTGGTACATTTGTTGGTGAGCACAGAGAATATGTTCTTTTTTATGACTGTTATGTGATTCAAAATAGGCAAGAAGTGACTGAAATATGTGTTGAAAAGACAACACTATCATAAAAATATTTTGAAATCTGTCATCTTTACATTTCTAATGTGGACTTCGGTTTACAAATAAAGACCAGTAAACATCCAGAAATTGTTTTGGGCCACTGCATCAACATCTCTGTTATTTGCTTGTAAAATAAACCTAGATTTCTCTCTGTCTTCTTTTTTGGGGTCACTGTGTGGGCTCTGAAAAATATGACATGTTCAGAGAGTTTCTACACTCAAAATATATATTTCTTATTTCAAAACATTCATTGCACATCGATAGGAAATATTCCCCCAGCCCCAACGATTTTAGAAGCTTTTACATTAAAGTTGCTTCACTGCTCAGTGTTCGCTTCTTACAGAGTTTCCTGTCTGTTACCAAGAGACATCATGCTGCAAAATGAAAAGCATCTCCACACAAACAGTGACTCAATGTCCACCTTCAACCAATCAAGGTGTGAATTTCAATTAATTCCTTTTCAACCTTAAGGGTCTGATACCATATAAATGTCTGCAGGCATTTATGCTTAATATTGGGACTAATTCTGCTGCAGTCAATCAGCTTTGGTGGGTAAGTTATATGACGTGTATTTGTACGTATTTGCCAGAATAAACTTTTGGGAAAGCAAATTTCAGTAGTAAGTGAATAAAATTCAATATCAATTAAGCTTCTTCATATTTGCTAA